TCAGCTTAAGCCCACTCCCATTTACTCTTCTATCTGGACACTCAACTTCTGCTTACCTGTCAAACCTGCAACAGCATGCAGAGCTGCTGGGGCCTTCAGCCCATCCATCTCAGGAGAGTAGGAGCCTGGGAAGGGTGAGTGGGTGGTGGTGACTGCAAGTGTCAGTGGCAGCTTCTGTCTAGGCCCTTTGGGATGAAGGGTGGGAAGCCATCCAGAAGGCCCTAATGTAACTGGAAAAGGAGTGACTGTGAGCCTGTTGGCTTGCCTTTCCCGGTTCATGTGAGGTTAAGTTTGCAGCTGTGGCCTTACAAGGTCATAAGGAACCTGTAGTTACTGAGCTAAGGGGAGGAGGGTGGAGAGGCTTGAACAACTGCTCCTACAGCAGAACATCTATCACAATCAGGAAAAAAAAAAAATCAGCAAGGAGCAAACTGACCCTTCTTGAGGTCTTTAGCATACTACATGAGGATCCTTAAGGATGCCAGCAGCCAAACAAACAACAATCTTCTGACAAGTTTCCCCTTGTCCCAGCGTGTGCCCTGGGTTCCTGGCCAGCTCCAAGCTCAAACAGGGAGCAGTGGGAATATTTCCAAGCGCCTGCCTCGGAGCTGGGCTCCCAGTGGTGTTATCTCAGGGACGGCCACTGCTTGCTGTTGTCTTGCCACAGCTGTGGGCCATCAGACTTTCCAGAGGTCCAGACCCTACGACTGGGAGTGATGCCTGATGCTCATACTGGGGATGCACAGGCTCTAACTTGAAGGGAGGGTGAGGAGACAAAGTGTTGCCAGCTGCCTGGAAAATGCCATCAGCATCAACACTTAGGGCACTCCACCCACATCTGTTTATTATAGTTATCAGATTTGTTTATTTTCACTTGAACACTATCCACCAGTCAGCTCTAGGATTCTTACACATCATTGTTCTCAGTATTATCTGCCCTAGGTTCTCTAGGACAGGGGCTGTGTCTCTAACTTCCTTCGTGTTTACTCAGTAGAATTCTACCTCTCTCTCATTTACTCATTTACCAGATACCTACCGAAACCCTACAACGTGTAAAATACCATGTCGGGAGGGTGGGGAAGGGCAGGGGGATAGCTGCCTTGGGAAGCTTCCCCTGTCTGGTGTGACAGATAGATGACTTACTCAGGAAGTTTTCATCAAGCATCTGTCATGCAGCCAGGCACTGCTGGGTCTTAAAATACAGTGACAAAATGGGAAAAGGCCCTGTACACAGAAGCACAGGATTGAGTTGGATAGATAAGTAAATGCACAAATATGTAATTCCATTCTCTCTGTGAATGTGGTGAAGGCAAAGAACAGGGTGCCATGCTTGAGAGAAGAGCAGCATGTGGGTGAGGAGGTAAGAAAGGCTCCCTTGGGACATGGTGTGTAAGCCCAGAACTAAATGTTGAGAAGGGTTGAAAATGAAACTCTGGCAGCAATGTGAGGACAGGCTAAATCTTTTAGAAAGCAGAAGCCCTTTGTCACACTAATTCCATGTAAGGAATTTATCCTAAGAAAACAGCAGTGAGCACACAGATGTGTGAATACTGAGTCTCATGGAAGTACTGCTTAAATGCTTAAAAATATTTAATTATGGTATATGCATATGGTAGAATATAGTGCTACCATTAACATGATTAGACATTTATGTATGGGCATGAACACTGTATATGATATAGTAAATTAAAATCTTATAGCATGATATATGAGCCCATTTTACTTAGATTACATACATGGGAAAGTTTCTGAAAGGCTGTGTGGTACAACATTTTAATAGTGGCTGTCTCACCTTGGCCAGGGAGCTCAGTTGGTTAGAGTGTCATCCTGATATGCCAAGGCTGTGGGGTTCAATACCCGGTCAGGGCACATACAAGAATCAACCAGTGAATGCATAAATAAGTGGAACAATAAAATCTCTCTCTTTCTCCCCCCTTCCTCTATTTCAAATCAATAAGTAAAATTTTTTAAAAAATGGTGCCTATCTCTAAGTGAGGGGTATTTTGTAAGTCTTATATGTTTTTTCCCTGATCTTTTTTTAAGTGAATTTTTTGCATTAAGAAAAAATACACAAATAAAGAAACATAATCCATTGCCAATCTAGGGCAGAGGGGACCCAAGCTGAGATTACAGTCACAAGAATCTTTAGGGAGAGAAGGACTTACAAAAAGAGGAGGAACTGCCAGCCCCAGATGACCTAAGGACATGAGGCTTAGGGAGAGGAGCGAGAAGAAGGTGCAACATGATGTCTGGTTTCTAACCTGGATCACTGGGTAGCTGGAGGTGCCATTCTCTAGGACAGGGAACAGGAGACAAGAAAAGGTTTGGGTAGAAAAGCAAAGCTTCTGATCTTCAGCATAACGAATCTGAGTGCCTGCGGGACATAACAGATGGATCTGGATCTCACAAAAGTGGTGCGCTCTAGAGAGACGTGTGGAAGTCAGTCATCCAATGACTGGCTAAGGGAGGGTATACAGTGTTCAGGGGTGCTGATTCTGTCAGCACCCCAGGCTGGTCTGAGAGGAAGGTGCCAGTAACGGCAAGGAGAACCGTTCAGAACGGAGGGCACCCAGCGTGGTTCCGGGAAGCCAGAGTTGCAGAGCTTCACAGATCCTTTTTAAAATGGCTTCCAAATCAGGCTGACAAAATTGGGGTGTGGATTCTGCTTATTTTCACAAGATCCTTGGACATATTTCTTGAAGGTGGGAGTTAGGGTTGGGAGAAGACAGGAAACTCAGCTGCCAGTGAGTCTGGCCTCTGAACAACCCGGTGTGATGGGTCAGAAGGAGGGAGGGCCCAGCACCAGAGAAGAGAGGATCCTGAGAGAAGAGGAGGATTCCTAGACTCTGAATGCAAGTAAGGCCCACTGTCACCATTCTTTCTCATGGAAAAACCAGGGGCAGTTGGGAGGGCGGTGCAACCCTCCGTAGGATGAGAGGATGAATTTAATGAAACACGTTCATTGTTCTCAGCTCCGGGTGGATGCCCTCTGCAAGGATGTTATAGGAAATGAATCCATTAGTTGCTGCCAGAAACCAGTGAAAGAAACAAAGAAATAAACAGAGCCCGTCAATACTCAGGGACCTGGAAGGAATCCCAAAATGAGCTGCACATTATAAGGGTTATAACTCAGAACACACTCAGCGCCAGCAGTCTTGGGGCTGAGATTCCACTGCTGTTGGTGTAAGTGTTGGCCCTGGAGTCTGACTTCCTGGTTTTCATGCAGGCTTCCACGGGACATGATGCTTAACCCTTTCATTCCTTAGTCACTTTGCCTGTAAAATGGGAATATTGATAGTCACTTTACATAAGGTGGGTTGTGAGGATTAAATGGGTCCCTCACCTCAACATATGAAAAGCTCTGGCATTGGGCGTAATACCTGGGGGAGAAGAAGGCCCCCGGGAAATGTTAGCTGCCAATGTCCTTGTCATTACGCTACTATTGATACCATGACAATCCACTGCTTTCTCAACCTGGGAATGAAGGATGGGGAAATTGAGGCATAGCTTCATTCATTCAGTAAAGGTCTATAAGGAGAATGTTAAGCAAACACCCATTTGCTCAAGCTAGAAATTCTGTAAGTTTACTGAGAGAATGCAATATACAGATTTAAAAATAAATATATCAGATTGGTTTTCTAGAGTGGATTTTGAGGATCCTATGAAATTTAAGGGTTGGATGGTTAGATGTTTGAGCAGTTGGATACAAGATTGAAGAGTATAAGGAGAGGAAGGGGGAACATTCAGAAGGGAAAAGAAGTTGTGGCTATTTCAGTTAGAGAGGTAGAAAGCACAGCGTAAGGGGAGAGTATTGCCTGAAGCTGGTTATAAAACAAAAGCTAACAGTCATAGAATCTAGAAAAAGACCTACAAAATATTTTCAGCGTAATCATATAGTTCCTTAGCACACCTCATTCTGCGATCACTGCTTCAGGCTCTACTGTTTCTCGTTGACTCTGCCACCTCCCACCTCCTGGCAAGTAAGAGGAAACATGTATATATAATTTACTGTATGCCTTGCCCTATTATGAATACTTTCTATGTAGTAACTGATTTAATCCTTGTGACAACCTGATGAAGTAGCACTATTATTGTCCTACTTTTACAAGTGGGATAACTTAGGCACAGTGAGAAAAGAAAGATAATGATAGAACTTACTACCCAGAGCCACACAGAGAGGAACTGACAGATCCAGGGTCACACCCAGACCGCCTGCTCTGAAGTCTATGCTCTTAATCACTGTAAGAGGTGCCAGATGTCACTGTTAAGGCAATTATGTAGTGAGTGTTCCTTACTTCATATGATGCATTTCTTTAAATGTCTAACAACATTGCTGTTTAGAGAAGACAGTGCTTTCTTTCAATACATAGTTGGTTATTTTAGAAACTCTTGTCCACATTCCTAGTATTTTTCTGTTTTCAGTTTCACATGGTCTTTTTCTTCTTTCCACAAACTGTGTCTTTTTTTCCATGCCTCTTACTCACTCAGTGCCTCCAGGCTCACTCACGTCACCTCTTTGCTTTGCTTGAACCATTGCATGGATCTTCCTTGCTTCTTTGCAGAATGCCCTCTCTGCCTTTCAAGTCATCCAGTTCCTTTAAGCCTTGTGCTCAAACTCTTGCTTCTCTGTGAAGTCTTCTAAAGTTACTCTAGGCCAGTTGTTTCACTTTTTAAAAAATCCTATGATAGTTATTATTTGTACTTCTAATCTCCTAATTCATTCATTCATTCATTCATTCATTCACTAAACCTCTCTAGTACCTCTTGGGTACTGGGAGTTTACAAAGATGAGTGGAAGCTGCCTACAAAGAGCTTACAATATAGTAAAGAAAAGGGAAATAAAGCAAATAATCATATCTTGGACATTTATGCAGTACCCTTTACATAATAGGCACTTAATTTTAACCCTGACATCATTCCTGGTGTGCAGGAATTCTAAGCTAAGGGACATGTGGACTAATGCAATTGATATAACTGGTTTTGGTTTTGTGCTTGCCTAGACCAAAGATGCCCTCTTCACAATCCTACATGACCTCCGACCCCAGGATCACTTCAGCATCATTGGATTTTCCAACCGGATCAAAGTGTGGAAGGACCATTTGGTGTCAGTTACTCCCAACAATATCAGAGATGGCAAAGTCTACATTCATCACATGTCACCCACCGGAGGTAAATATGAGTCCTTCTTTTCACATTAGCTTTGACGTGATAATAAGTGAGTAGCTAAATTTTCTGCCAAGAGACAAGGATTTGAATGCTGAAGCTATCACAGGAAAGGAGATAACAGCCAAGAGCTTTCCCAGAAGCTTATGTTTCTCTGAACACCAATTCTGTAAATTCTCCTCTTCCAGGCCCCCGAGCTAAGATGGTCAAATAAGTTATGGGGGGAAATACCTGATAGGGTTTGGAGCCTTTCCTGGCTTATCTCACGGATCCCGAGCAATGAAGCCGTTTTTGTAAATTGTTTTAGGGTGTGGAATTAAAGCCAAATAGAAGAGTTAGTTTTGTGTGCTCAAATCTTAGCACCCTAGGAAGCAGCAGGTGGAACTGCCCAGCTGCACCCTTAGTCCCTTCGGCATGGCTGAAACAGTGTGCAGAGCAGGAATCCCAGGGGGCCGGGAGACACCGTGGATGGAAGGAGTGATGGGTCTCAGTTTCTGCCTGCCTAGCTTGGGAACGGTGCCCAGGTAAGTGTGCAAAGGAGGGAAAGGTCATAAAGAACTTTAAGAAAATTAGAGTATCAGAAAAGTATGCTAATGTTATACAGCTGTGCTAGATGTAAGTTCCTTCAACTCAGGACTTTGGTCTTACTCTTGCTGTCAACTTGATCATGACTACAGTAACACATGATAGGTGCTCAATGTTGGAGTGTTTATGGGCACTGATCCTGACCCCTCCCCACTTTATTAAAGGCCATTTATGGAGACACCATCTCTTGTTTTTGCCTCAATTACTGTGCTTTGGTGGCCACCTGGAAACATATAAAACACCCAACAGTCTTCTCGCATCTGAGATTTTTCATCTTTCTTATATTCATCATTTCCTATCCAAGACAAAGCTCTGATTTCCCACATGAGTTTCATTTGGAACCTTATCTTTCTTAGACTGAGCTTGAACGTACAATGGGATTCCCTACCAGCGTCTACAACAGTGAGATTTAGGAACTGTTTTACTAGTTGATGGGAGAAATAATGGATTGGATTTAATATAGTATTATACCATTGATCATTGACCTATGGCAGGAAGTGACAAGGTTGTTAAGTCCTCTCGAGAGAAGAAACTCTTACTCATCTTTGTATATCCCCTAGTTCCTAACATAGCCCCTGACATATAGTGTATGCTCAACAAATACTTGCTAATTGCATTTATTTTAATGCTATTGGCTTCGGTTAGAATGTTATGGGGAAGTGAGGATAAAGCTTTAGCAAACAATTGATGTGTATTATGTTCTTTTGGAATCCAAACCTTATAAACCTATGGTTTCCTTTATTGTTTTTCTTGGCACTTCATTGCTCCAACCTCTGTAGGTGGACAGAAAAATTAATCTGCTTCTCTCAAAGACATATAACATCAGGGTTGGGGGCATAGATTCTGAAACCAGATTGCCTGGATTTGAACCCAACCCCACCATCCACAATTCATTTATTTTCCCTAGGCCTCAGTTTCCTCATCTGTACACTGGAGATAATAATGGAGTTGATAGTAGGATGAAATGAGTTAAACTAATTAAAGTATTCAACAAACACTTGCCAAGTTTCTAGACAGGCTGTGTAGCCTAGAATCACCCCACATGCTTGGGGTCTTCTTCCCCTCATTCCCAGTGTCACTCTTGCTAATTCTTGAACGATCGTGAATGAACCACAACCATGAGTGTGCAGCCAGGGGAAGGAGGTGAGCGCAAGATTGAGCCGTCCTGTTCTGGTGTTCCACAGGCACAGACATCGATGGGGCCCTGCAGAGGGCCATCAGGCTGCTCAACAATTATGTGGCCCACAATGACATTGAAGATCGCAGCGTATCCCTCATCATCTTCCTGACGGATGGGAAACCCACAGTTGGCGAGACCCACACCCTCAAGATTCTCAACAACACGAAGGAGGCTGCCCGGGGCCAAATCTGCATCTTCACCATTGGCATTGGGAATGATGTGGACTTCAAGCTGCTGGAGAAACTGTCGCTGGAGAACTGTGGCCTCACACGGCGTGTTCATGAGGAGGAGGATGCGGGCTCACAGCTCATTGGGTTCGTTCGTCTTCTTGGGCCAATAATTGGAGGTTCTCAGAAGGGGATGGAAGGTAGGGTTTTATGAGGGACTCAGAAATGAGGATGGTTTGCTGCACCTTCATCTCAAGGCTACTGGAAATGACCATAACTCATTACACTGGGAGACATCATGTTGGGTTTTTAAATCCATTAGGCAGGTCTATCTGTAAATTCCAGTCCTGCTTTGTGACTTTAGGCAAGATTTTAAATTCCCTCATTACAAAGTGAGATTTATGTTCAGTTGACAGAATTTAATGGGAAAACCTTTATAAAGTATTGGCAGAATGATTGTCATGTGTTAGGTGTTCAATTAGCTCTTCTGGTTATAATTGTCTTCTTGACATTTCTAAGCACTTTCTGGTATAGTCACTCTAATTCTGACCTGTGCAGTAGCTAAGATAAGCAACTGTTGAGTAGTACTGATAATTAAAATGATCATATTTTTTTCTTTGAAAGTAAAAAGACCAATTGACACTAGTCACTGATTACACACACACACACACACACACACATTTAAGGTGAAGAAGAAACTAGAACTTAGGTCTTCTAATTCAGTTCAGTGCTTTCCTTTGATAGCATGATGACAAACATGGGGTATAACTTTGCTCTTGACTCAGTGATGTGCTGACTCCCAGTTCAGTATTATTGCTTTAGTCCACTTTGTGGCATATACAGTAGATACTTAAAAGGAACAGTGAGCTCTAGGTACATTTATGGGTGTTTCATAGCCATAATCAAAAAGCATACATCAATGATCAATCTAACTGGGGGTCTCTTTGATGGGCAATAAAGATAGGTCCTAGGGATAGAGCTAGTCACCATTGTTTCCCCAGCGTTTTTGTCAAAGATTTAAATAAAACACAGATTAGCTTCCCACATTTTCAAAATCATTCAAAATTATGTTTGATTTAACTTAATGCATTAATAAAATATGTGTTTCATAAGCAAAAACAAAGTACATTGAAACAAATCGACTGCACTACTAAAAGTATTGTCACTACCCAACATTTATTGAGAACTTACGATATGACAGACATTTTTATAAGCATCATTTCATGTGATACCCATGGAAGTCCTAGGTGTGGGTGTACTAGGGTAAAGACTAAATGCCACGCAGATGACTCTGTCTTGTAACAGTCTGGCAGGCTCAGTTCTGCTTCATGAAGTAGGTCATTCAGAGAAATCGGGTTCCTTCCATTTCACTGCTCTGCACCCATTAGATGTTGTCTTTAACTCCAAGGCTGAAATGAGGTCACAATTGCCTCTGTATTTCAGCACTAAAAGTAGGAAAAGAAAAGAAAGCCAGAGCAAGCCATTTTATTTCAAGCAAGCATTGCAGAAGGTACACATAACTTCCACTTATGTTCCATTGGGGAGAACATGGCCGTATTTGATCACAGTAGAGGCTGAGAAATGCAGTTTGTAGCTGGATGGGCATCACCAAGTTAAAACTGAATTATTATGAAAGAAGGGGAGATTGGGTCTGGGGAAACAGCTAACAGTTTACCAAAGTAGTTATTGTTAACGTTCCAACTTTATAGAGGAGGAAACTGAAGTTCAGAGAGGTTAAGTTATGTGTCCCAAGACATACAGTAGCAAGGAAGTAGCTGAGCTAGAAGTCTAACTCCACAGCCTATGCCCCCTAGATCTTTGGGAAGGTATTTTAATTGCCTCTTTACTCAGAAACTAGCAACCGTGTGACATAAGTAGGAGAAAAGCTAATGCAAGCAAATGCTGCATTACTCAAAAGCATAGTGGCAAAGTCAAGGTCAAATTTCTCAAGTATAATGTGCTAATTGAAGTACATTGGCAATAGGTATTTGGTTCTAAGAAAAAGGTTTTGAGATGCCCTTTGAGAAACTTGGGTGTGTACAGAGGAAAGTTACCCAGAGTGGTTAGGGAACCTTGCAATTTTATCACCTGAAGAATAGTTAATGAAACGGGATTGATTAGATTGAACAAAAGATGACTCCTAGGAGCAATGTTTGTCAATGTCCTAAACAGCTGTTATGATGAAGATAGATTAGGCTAATTCATGCTGGGCTGCTCCAGAAGCAAATGTGAGTGGGTGGAAATTGCAGGGAGAAGATTGTGATCTATTATGAGGTTCCTCCTCCTCCTCAGAGCAGTTGAAAGAGAGGAGGAATATGAGACAGTGAGTTCTCTGTCACCAGTGGTGTTCAAGCTACTCCTGCATAACCTCCTATGAGAAATGTTCTGCTGCGTAGATGTTGGACTTGATTGCTCCTAAGGTCAGGTTCACCCCTCCCACAGCCCGCAATTTCCTTTAGGTCCTGCCTGCAGTCAGGGCTAGGCTCTGACTCACATTATCTCTTTCTCTCTCTCCATTCCAGGTTCTACGATGAGATCAGGACCCCTCTGCTCTCTGACATCCGTATCGATTACCCACCGAGCCTTGTGGAGCAGGCTACCAGAACCCTCTTCCCCAACTACTTCAATGGCTCAGAGATCATCATTGCTGGGAAGCTGGTGGACAGAAAGATGGATAGATTGCACGTGGAAGTCACAGCCAGCAACAGTAAGAAATTTGTTGTACTGAAGACAGACATCCCTGTAGAGCCCCAAAAGGCAGGGAATGATGTCTCAGGACACACCAGACCCAAGGGTGATGGCGAGGAAGACCCCAATCACCTCGAGCGTCTTTGGAGCTACCTGACCATGAAGGAGCTGCTGAACTCCTGGCTACAGAGTGACGACAAGCAGGAGAAGGAACAACTGAGGCAGAAGGCCCAAACTCTGGCTGTGAACTCTCGCTTCCTCACCCCATTCACCTCCATGAAGTTGAAGAAACCTGCACTGCAGACAAAGAAGCTAGAGGACAGCTATGGCATGTCCGCTGCAACAGGGCCTGAAACAGTGATGCAGGACCTGCAAGCCTCCCACTTGCAGTCAGGTAACCAAATTCCGGGGATGGTTGGATATAGGAGCCTAACATATCCTTTCTACCTCGTTCTCAGGCCAAGGTCATCTTGGTAGTAGTCTGTTTTTACTTTGTTGTTTTACAATTTTTATAAGTAATCACCCCCACATGCCACTCCCAGTTTTCAGTGAGTGTGTTTAGTTGTTGTGTCTGATTTGTTATAAACTGTGGATCTCTGTACGGAAATTGGAAAAGGAGGCAGTTGTCTCAGGAATGCTGCTTGGTGAAGTTGGTCTGTCAATCAGTCATCAGTATGGAGTGCTTAACATTCACCAGGCATTATTGAAGACACCAAAATGAATAAACAAATATATATACAAATGTTCATTTTAAAATGCCTTTCCACATTTTTAAGTACTTTGGAGTTATGTCATTTGATGTGTACACTGGATTTTATTTTACTGAGAATATAGGTGAGGACTAATTTCTGGATTCTTGAGAGAATTCACCCTTTCCATAATTATCGCTCAGACTCTAAACAGCAACTGTCATGATTAATCTCAGTGCCATTTTGACAGGGGAATGAGTAGCAACGAGAACAGAAAAAAGAAAGGGAAGGTAGTTTAACCAAAGCAGAGGATTATGTTCTCAGTAATAGCTGTTTATGGAAAATGGCATCTTTTTAATGTATAACATTTTCATTAAATTTCTGTCAAGTTCACATCTCCTAAGTAGGGGAAACTGATGTTACCTCAGGACCTACAAATGCTGTCCCATTTATTCTTCACACTCTAAACTCTGAGAAGCCCCTGGGGTGGGGAAGAGAACATAAGTTTAGGATCCAGACAGAACTGAGGTTCAGCTCACCAACCGTCCTGACCAGCTGTGTGGCTTGGGGCAGGCTTCTGTCCCTCTGAGTTTCTATTCCCTCACCTGTAAAATAATTCCCCTGAAGGGCCATTGCAAGGATTAAATGTGTAAAGTCCTTGGCACACATGAGTGTTCTAGATGTTAGATACCCTTTCCCTTGAGGAACATAGATCTAAAAATTTATTGAAAGTTCAGACCCTGACGGAGAGGTTAAAACTGAAGCATTGCCTTTTTAGAAAGAGTGAAGCTTGTGTTAGGAAAACGAGTGCAATTTTAGTTCTGGTAAAAAAACAAGTTGTGTGATGCTATGAAATAACCATTTGAAGAAATGACCAACTGATAGCTCAAAACAGTAGTTTGGAACAGGATTTTCCTGAAGTGTTAGTACTCAAGACAATCTTTCTTTGCTTAAAGCTCTGATGATCTTTAAAATTTAAGTTTTGGTTTTTCTAAATGTCTGTGGCAGCTGCTACTCCCCGCAGCTTCTCACAGCAGCCGTGCAGATTGAGAAGGTGCTTCCTCTCTGTGGTCTGCCTGATTCGGCTGGTGTCCCGCTGAGTGTCCCGGAAAAGACATGGCCCCAGAGGCACATTGAGACAGTTTGATCTTTAATTTCTGTGAGGGGCAAAAAGCAGTGAAGAGAAGCATGATCTTTTAATACGAACAATTTGGAATAAGATACTAATTTTATTTTATTTATAGAAATTAATTTACTTTCAGGTTATTCCTTAATTGATTATTTTGCCGGCTGCTTTCTGAATTGTGTTCACACACATAGCGACAGACCTTGGATTCTAATTTATTTTTACATTTTTGCATTTTTCTGGGCTTTTCAAAATTATGGTACAAAAACATGCAACATTAAAATTTACCATCTTACCCATTTTTAAGTGTACAGTTCAGTAGTGTTAAGTATATTGATGATGTGAAACAGATCTCCAGAACTTTTTCATCTAGCAAATCTGAAACTCTGGATCTGTTAAACAAGTGTACATTTTCCCCTTCTCCCATAACTAGACCTTAACTATGATGGAATATTCTCCTCCATTATGTACACAGAAATTACAGACAACAAGAATATTACTTAATTTATAAAAGAATAAAATAATTAAGCCTCTATATGTTAGACCTTCATTTGTGTGTTGTGGGGCCAACTCCCTCTTTAAAACAGATGATTTTCTCAGTTGCAAAAAATGTATCTGAAAGCTACATTTACTCATCTCAACCCTCTCCTCTCTGTACCACTCACTTCATCTCTTTAATGAATAATAGTAATTGTTCCTTTCCTTGTCCTTTTTAGGACCTGCTCTCAAGAAACCATACAACCCAAGAATTAGAGTCTCCAAAACATCAGGTAAAGAACACAATGTATGTGATTTGGGAGTTGGTATGTTTAGAAAGTGGACAACCAGAAATTCCCTGAAACCAGTTAAAATACCAGCTCATATTAGAAATGTGACACCAGGTCCCATATTTTCTTAGCTCACGCCAGCAGCATGAGGCAGTTCTGGGAACTGGGACCATCATTAAACCATTATATAAACACCTTGGCTAATAGTCCTGAGGAGGCTGGCAACAGCCCTGATTGAAGGATGGATAACACTCATATTCTCCCCATTACGGACTTTAAAAGACATTTGTTTTAGAGACAGAAGTATGCGTGCTTCCTCTTTCTGGTGTTACAAATATCTGTGACATTCAGGTTTTAAAAAAATGATTGTTATTATTTCTTTAATCCTTGGTTTAGAGGGAAAATACCATAAAATTTCCATTGGCCAATTTTCTGGAATTATATAAAAATCCAGATGGAATAACAACAAAAGGACGGGGTTGGAGTTTTATAATGTACACATCTCTTTATAAGTCTTGCAGCTGATGTGCCGGATGTGCAAGTTCATAAAATGAGAGACACCCTCACGGTTAGCTGTGCAGACAGGAAACACAGTCTCCAATGGAGAGAATGTAATTCCTTTGAACACACACAAGCTTTAATGCAGGAAAATTTTCCTCTTGGTCCTACATGGAGTGAAGACTTTCAGACCGCTCCTCTATTTTTTAGAATAAGCAACAGCTTTCCTTTTAGAGGGACTTGGACAATTTGAGGACAAATGATGTGGTATGAGTCCAAGAAACTCTCAAGGAACTGTCACAGAGCTCTGTTCCTGTTGACTCTGTGTCCTTCACTTGCCACCAGCTCTCCATCAGGTTTGGTCATTATTCCAGTCAGACAAGAGTTGTGTACATCTGGCGCTATGAATGCCCCTAGTGCCATGACACTTTGGTCATAGGAGACGAAATGTTCTCCTCCATAGCTCTTCACTTGGGTAATCAAAGGAGAAAGGAAAGGATTGGCATCATGTGGGGAATTGAAGAAAGTGGACTCAGCCATAGTGGGGGTATCTGGCAATAATTCTCCTTTCCGTTTTCCACTTGCCTCCCAAAGCTTAGTTGCCTGTGGTTGGCTGAGGTGTGATGAAAGGGAGCATTATATATGAATTTAAGGGACCTGAGTTCAAATATTTGCTTTACCATCTACTAATTGGATAACTGTGGTGAGTCGTTCACCTCCCAGTCATCCTCCTCATTTAGACATTCAGGATCATTGACAGGATCAAATAAATAATACATGAGAAAAAGAAATAAGAGTACTTACACATGGAAGGCACTCAATAAATGTCTTTTCTTTCTGTTTCCCTCCCATTTCTTCCTGCTCTGGCAGCGGATGGAGACCCCCATTTTGTTGTGGATTTCCCCTTGAACAAGCTCACTGTCTGCTTCAACATTGATGGACAGCCTGGGGACATCCTAAGGCTGGTCTCTGATCATGCAGACTCTGGTAAGTTCTGCCCTCTGTAGTGGCCTTGGGCAAGAGCAAGTTAGACATCCTGTTTCCTCTGTTCCTAAGATGGATGTCCAGGTGTGTAAGGGGCACATCATAGATGCTCAATGAGAATCATTGATGAGTAATTAAAGCAAGTAGACTGTGTGCTGGACTTGGAGGCAGGAATATGTGCACTAGAAACCCTGCTGTCTGACCAAACTCATGTTGTGGCCTTGGATACTCAACCAGAGAGCTCCTGCGATCTCCCTTGTAAAACAGAGTGACACTCGCTGTGCCAGCCTCACAGCACTATATGAATTCATAACATTATGGTTATTATGTCTTTCCAATGGAAAACTGTGATGGTGGGATGTGCTGAGCTCATTTATCTCAGTTCTTCGGTGATTGAGGTGTTAAGCCTGATGTTAATTCCTCAGCTCCGTGCGCAGAGAACATGAATGTGAGAAGGGTTCCGATCCCCTTTGGTCTGTAGAGGGACCATGTAAAAGAGATTGGTATATAAAAAGCTCCTCTCAGTACACATAGGTACCAGTGCCTCAGGGATGACCATGTGGACAGCCACACAGTCTGACTTGGTGAGGACAAGCCTTGCAGTGGACGTTCTGGCACTTCTCCGTTCTGAGAAAATGAATTTCTTAGAAGGCTAGGTGACAGAGGGCCCCACGGCAAGATGGCACAGATGATGTTATTATGTAATGTTTTGTTGTGGGCTCCTTACCTTAGCATGCTCTCTTGCAGGACTGCATAGGCTTAGAGAAAAATCTTGGCTTGTCTGTAACTCAAAGGGCTCCAGAGTGACTGTATCCTTCCCTGGGGGTGCCCACCCCTCTCAGAGCTGTTCTGTCATTTCTGTATTCAGTGTGGTGTCCGTGATGGGAAGCTCAGAAGAAGATGCCTGGAGCCTTGAAGTGGAAGTACCTGACCTCTGCTCACGCTGGGGTTTTTCCTTTCCCTAACACTTTGTCCCAGAGAAAGGAGTTTTCCCCTGGAACATCCAAGGAGTTTTAAGTCAAGATGCATGGAAAGATTGTCCTTAAAGCAGAGAAAACAAGAGTTGATTACATGGCAATCTTTTATTAATGCAAATTGCCTCTTTGGCTGAGAACAAATACACTTAATGCACATAACCTAATTCAGCCCCAAACATCTGGTGTAGAATTGCCATCTGTTCGGACAGCACAGATTGCGAGAAGCCTGGCTCACAGGCCTTGCTCAAATCTAGAGGAGTTCCAGTTGTGTTCATGGTGGTGAGGGAAAAAGAAAGGGGTTCTATTTGTTGGCCATTGACAGCTTGTGTATATGCTGCCTCCTGTAATCCTCACTACAGTCCTGTAGGTTCCATTCCCCCTTTTTACAGACGAGAACATTGAGGCTTAGAGTTTTAAAGTGACTTTTCCAGAGATGCACACCTGGAAAGCGGAGGAACTTAAGCTTTTGGACTAAGCATAATCCTAATCTTTGCATTATGCCACACCGCTCAGTGGCATCACAGAGTCTCAAAATCAGGATCGGTGGCACTTGGTAGATGAGAAATATGTCTCTTTGTCCCTACAACTAGAGTGAAGGAAAATACTAGAGTGAACACAAACACATAAACCCTTTCTATGACATCTTGACCCAAATCTACATAATCCTTCTCCTCCCCCAAGATATTCATCAAACAGGGGAAGAAATTTCCTCATAACTTCATACATTTACTCATTTCTTCACTCATTCAATAGACACTGAGTGACCTCTACTCCCAAGTCAAAGTTCGTGGTGCAAGAGATACAAAGATGAGGCCAGAGGAGGAAGGAAATTCTGATCAGACGCCTTTAGCATGAAGGTGGGGATAGTTTTTCTAACCACTGCTCTCTTCTCCTTTGTCTTTGAGGTGTGACAGTGAATGGAGCATTAATTGGAGCCCCTGCTCCTCCCAACGGCCACAAGAAACAACGCACTTACTTCCGCACCATCACCATCCTTGTCAATAAGCCCAAGAGGTCATACCTCGAGATTACACCACACAGAGTCATCTTGGATGGAGAAGACAGGCTGGTCCTCCCCTGCAATCAGAGCATGGTAGTGGGGAGTCAGGGACTGGAGGTGTCAGTGTCTGCCAATGCCAATGTCACTGTCACCATCCAGGACACCATTGCCTTCGTCGTCCTCATTCACCTCTACAAAAAACCAGCCCCCTACCAGAGAGACCACCTGGGTTTCTACATCTCCAGTAGCAAAGGCCTTTCTGGCAACTGCCATGGACTGTTAGGTAAGCAGCTGCTCTTCCTGAGGTGAGAGGAGAGCAATCAGCTCCTGGCGTCCTGGAAGTGAAGCTGGTGTCGCCAATCACTTTAGGTTGATTGAGAACTTCAGTGGGAAGGTGATCTTTACACATGTCACAAAAATTGTGTGTCTTGCCTCTTCATGACTTTCAGGGATGGGGCTGGGCTTTATAAACTAATTCTTGCTGGCTTTCTGGGAAAGCAAGCAAAGAAGTTGGGAGAAATCCTCTGGCTTCTTACTCTCAGCAAGAAAATACAAAGAAAGGGCAGTTCCCAGCCCAACACCTGGTGTGACATGGCGTTTCTTCCACAGGAGTCACCCACACTGTGTGAGCAGCAGGTGATCCACTCAGGATGGCTTTCTTTGACGTGCAGTCTCATGTGGGCCCCTTGCCCACAAGTAAAGAGCCAGAGCCGCCAGGGCTCGATTTAGAAAGCAGGATTTCCTGGCACTTGAGCTGAACATGTTTCTGTATTGTCTGCTGGCTAAGCATGCGCTCCCTCTAACAGATGCAGACCAGTGTCCTTGTCCTCAGCGATGCCCTCATTTGACCTGGAGAATTCTGATGATATTTCTCAGAAACAAACTGAACTGACTGTTTTCCATACCCTCCCTCAGTCCTCAAACTTTGTAGTATGGAGAGTGCTACAACGAGACGGAAAGAGGGGGAGGCTTGACTCTTCCCTATTTATCTGCCCACTTTCTTGCCCTTCTAGCTCAGTAAGAGACTGTGGTTATCTCTGTGTGCTGGTTAGGGAGCTTTCCGGTCTTAGTAAGTGATCAGCTTCCAGATGTGGAGGCTGCTACCTATAAAACCTCAGGTCTCTTCTCTCCATTCACCCCCAAACACGTGTTCCATCACTTATGCTGGAGAAGGTGTGAGTGTGTCCTGACAGTGGCCAGCTAGGAGTGCGGTCACTGACATCATGAATTCCCCTTCCTCTGGGTACCACCTGTGCATTTGCTGGTCACCAGTGGCCTAAATTGAAGTTAGATTTTTTCCTACATGTTGTGACTTGCACTTGACTTAGACCTGATGCTTTTCTTGTCCATTCAGGTCAGTTCCTGAACCAGGATGCCAGACTCACAGAGGAGCATGCCGGGCCCAGCAAAAACACTACTGGTCCTTTACTCCCAAAGGCAGGCGAGATGTCTGGAACTGTCCTGAAGGTGAAAGGACATCAGGTCCCGGTAGTCTGGAAACAGAGGAAAATCTACAATGGGGAGGAGCAGGTCGACTGCTGGTTTGCCAGGAACGCAGCCCAGCTGCTCGATGGGGAGTACAAGGATTACCTGGCAGCCCATCCTTTTGACTCAGAGACTACCTTTGGCCTGGGAATATCCAGGGGACTTTGACACTAGCAGCTTTAATGTAAGAGTGCCTGACAGGGAAATGGCCTTCGGGAACACTGTGGTGTGGTTCTTGTTGCTGGCCTGTGCCTGGTCTCTTGGCAGTAAGCTGCAACCCTTGGCCTGCCCCTGCTGGCCTGTAGGTCTGATGTCGTCTTGAGCAAAGGGTAGGATCATGAAGCTGAAGTGACATGTTGTTTCCCCTGCTTCCTCCTCCTGCCAAGGTTTCCTTATGTACTATAGAGAAAGATGGTAGCTCCAAAAGGGGAAAGGCCATGATTAAAAGCAAGAAGTCTATGTCTTGTACCGACTGGCTTGTCCATCTCACGGCCCACCATAAAGTAACTTTGATGAAGGAAGATTGTTGTAAAATTTGTCTTCTCTGTGGAAAAAGCCAAGTTTGGGCACACTGCTTTTCACTTTGTAAGTGCTTAGGAATCTTTTCTTTTCATACCACTGCATTCTCCAGATGTGTGGCCCGCCTCTGCTTCAGAGGATCCTTTGATGGAGCCCAGACCACGAGTCATGCAATAGCCTGTAGAGTTGATCATTATAAACAATTAAGTCTTTTCTAGGAGAAGATTTTCTCCTGCTGTGATATCTTGCTCTTGAAAATTAGTTTTCATTTTTATTAAAAAATGATTAAAAATAGAAAATCTACATCCCAGCTACCCACGTCTTTCTAATGGGTTTTGTAAAACACTTTTACTTTGCCAATGAATATTCTCCTATTTATTCTAGTAAGCTGAATGCTAATAATAAAGAGGACAACTCCACATGAATGTTTTTAACTAGGATGTCTCGGTGCTGGATGAATGGAAAAGCTTTTACTAGGCACTCATCAGCCTTCATCATGATCATGGCTTTCTTTGTCCAGGAGGTGATAAGTTAGGCTCTTCCAGGACTGGACTGGGAGGTAGACACAACATAGGGAGAGTCTGACAGGTGACATACAGGAATCAACCTTCATGTTCTCAGCAGGAAGGGCGCACCTGCTTACAGAGTCTAAGGAGCCTTTCCACACCTCAAATAGGCAAAGCCAGGAAATCAGCACGAGTGAGGAGCTCTGGTTCCAGAATGTGGACATATCTAATCCCATAAGGAAAAGGTTAAAATTGAGAACAAGTGCTTCAAGAGTCACTGACTATCAACCTTCTCATTGTGGGTACCCTCTTTGTAGCCCATTCATATATCAAGGGATGCGTGGCTGCTGGTGGCATCGGAGCCTCACTTCCTTCCCTCCTCACCAGTTCTTGCTTTTTGTTCAGTTTGGTCTTCTCAGGACCACTGAGGTTGAGTAAGTCTGATCCTCATGGAGTAAGGGGCATGGTCAAGACACAGATGGATGCAGGGAGCACTTGTGTCAAACAGCAGAGATAGATTTGGGTCAGAGAAATAAAATATTTTGATGTGAGACTGAATGAAATAAAGGCCTTTGTGCTGGCTTCACAGGAGGTTTTTCCCAGTCAGGACTGACTCCAGAGCAGACTTTCATGAGAAATGAAAGCACACTTAGCAGTTGGAGGGAAATCAGAGCTACAAAAATTGTTTATCATACTTACCCTCCCGTGGGAACCATTTGAACAGCAAAATGACCTCCACATGTTCCTGTTGGACCAGGAGATTAAGTTAGTGACCGGGGACTTTTCAGTCCTCTCTCACCCTCAGTCTCTCTCCTCTTTGTGAAACCACTAGGCCATGGCCTGCCGGCTGTGTTATTTTTGACTCCTATCATCTCAGACTAGTGGCCTGTTTTCGTGCCAGCGTGTGAAGACACCTGCCCCGACGGACAGATGCTTCCATATTTCAGAGCTCAGAGGAAGATGAGGAGCATGAACCAGGGCCAGCTAGTGAGTGGCCAGGCTCCACGGGGACCTTCCTGTCATACAGTTGCAACCCCAGCTGGGTAGATGTCCCTTGAGCCAAGAACCTGCTGTGTTAACCCTCGGGGTGGTGATCTGTGTTCCAGGTGTAGGTCTCAGAGCTGTAGTGAGGGGGCTACTGCTAGGTGTTCCCCCTTACTACTGCTTTTGTAATAGCAGTGAAGAGTATTCCAGTGAGCAACCCATTGCTTACTCTCCTACTTAGGAAAAAAAAATTTTTTTAAAGCATCAAGATTGAGCTTTCATTTTAAAGTTTTTACTTGAGATAAATCCACTTTTCTTTCTCCTCTTCAGTTGCACATCTGTTTTTATTGATAAAAGTATTTACCATTAAATTTTCTCTCTTCAGCTAGAGACTGTGATATATGCGAGCTCGAAAGTCCACACCCGTGTTATAGTTAAGACCTTTTAATTTGATTGAAAAATGTAATATTTTCTGTTGGCCATGTGTTGTGAATAGCAAGCTATTTAGAAGTCAGTGCAGAACAAAGGAGGGCCTCTCTTCTCCTTTGGTAGGGAAACTGAGGCAGGGTACAGGTAGGTGATTTTTCCCATGTTATGTAAAAGACTCAGAGGGGGACCAGGCTGAATGGCCAGAACTCCTTCTGTTTGCTTTAACACATTTCTACCATCTGGGCAATAATTTATTTTCCTTGAGCATTGATAAATTGAGCGAGGGTAACTAAATGAGAAGTTGAATGAGATTGAGAAATATGTTGCAATTAGAGGAGATAAATCTCATGCTGTCATCACAGCTAATGTGAAAGAGTCATAACAATTGATTAAGATCTTCAAAGTTTTCATCTCTGGGTTCCCATTCCCTCCCACATCTAAAAAGAAAGGCTTCTGATGGGTCATCTTGATTCAAAATTTTACATTCTCCAAATAAATGGACTGAATGCTCTCTACCTATCCACGCTGGGTGGTTTATCTTCTTCCCTTTGATTTTTCCATGACTTACTACCTCAGACTTGAGGGAGTGTGTGTTTGGGAGGATCAGCCATCTTGACACATTGTCACAGCTGGGCAGTTGTGAGGAAGGCCTCACAACTGCGAAGAGCACCTCTTTGTTTCTATCAGGAATAACATTAAATCTTTCATTGAATCATGTACCCTCATAGGTCGATTAGGAACAAGATTAATCCCTTTAAATTCATCTCTTGTCCAAACTGAATGCTATGGACTGAATGTTTGTGTCCCTCAAAATTCATATGCTGAAGCCTAAATCGCCCAGTGTGATGACATTGGGAGGTGGGGCTTTGGGAGGTCATGAGGTCATGAGGGTGGAGCCCTCATGAAGGGGGTTAGTATCCTTATAAAAGAGACCCCAGAAGCTGCCTCTCCCCTTCCACTGTGTGATAATACAGGTAAAAGGTGTCATCTGTGAACCAGGAGGTGGACTCTCGTTCTCACTAGACACCAAATCTGCCAGTGTGTTTGTTGATCTTAAGCTTTCAGCCTCCAGAACTGTGAGAAATGAATGTGCATTGTTTAAGCCGCCCAGTCTATGGCATTCTTGATATAGCAGCCTGAGCTGAATAAGACACTGAATTCTTTTCGTTTCTTCAAGCTACACAGAATGTATACAAATAATGCTGTCATTAAATTTGAAGAACTCTTGGAACCAGAAGAACTTGATCCACCTAAAATAAACAGCACATAAAGTAACACAGCTAAACAAACCCTTAGAAATGTAACTTTAAATATTTATTTTAGTCAGTTTAAAATAATAAGTAGGATACAAGATGGTTCACATTCAAGAGACATTTTCCTTAAACAAAAATTTATATGAGACTGACATCTAAAAATAAACAACATATTGGCATGTTTATGTTTTGAGGGAAAACAGAATTAAGGCTCTAGAGAATAAGACTTGATGATTGTAATTGTACTGATTGTTTGTAGTAATCTATGAATTACATAAAATATATGTAAATGGAATAGTGAGTGACATTGGAAGAATAATATTAAAACACATGAATTACTATGGAGAACAGCAAATGTACAGTAGCCATTCCTGACCTTTATATAAAACTTCTATCGACCTGGCAAAAAAACTTCTCATAAGTAGAGAAGTGTCTTAGACCTCTCAGTACCCTATTTTCTGGAACTCTGGTATCTCAAAGCTTTGATCACTTTCTTATTGGGTCGCTCATTCATACACACTGGCCACCATCTTGTTTGGGAATTTTTCCATTTGGCTCTGGGTCATTTTTCTTCCTAAGGGGCATCTGCAGCCTGTGGTCTGGCATCCCATCTCCAGTTCTGAGTAGTCCTGTAGGTCAGGCTCAGATTCTGACTGGCCTATGTTAAGTTCTGAATGGAGCAGCACCTGATTAGAGCCAAACCAGACAGAGCATGAGTGAGACAGCTTTGGGAGGCTGTGTTAAACACAAGTGAATTCCTGACCTCAAGCGTACAAAGATGACCTCTTTGGGTTTGGGCGTCTTCACCTATAAAACAAAGGGACTGAATGAGATAACTTCTTAGGTCTTGTGATTTGTACCCTCTATTTGCAGACAAAGATAATTCCTGAACTTCCAAGTAATAAATGCAAAATGACCCATTCAGTGACTCCAGTGTATTTTGAGACCCAGTTTTCCGAAGCTATGGATTCAGAGAGAAACAATGTGCATGCCTCCACAGTTCACAGTTTCAACGAAGAGGCAGAATGAATACAAAGACTGACACAGAGTGTGGGAAATCCTGTGAGAGAACTTAGAAGAGGGCTGTTATCTGAGCACAGACAGGCGTAGCTATGAAGGTTGAAAGGAGGTTGGGAACCACCCCCAAGATGCAGAGCGTTAAGCTGCAAGGAAGAAAAGTCCGTACAGAGGCAACCACATGATTACTTCCTCTAAAATGTTTAACATCTGCGAACATCTTCCAAATTGAAGCAGTCTTCTTTCTCTGCTCAGTTGCAAACAGTGCACATAGTAGATCAGTGGTTACTGAAAACCCACAGTGGATAACGCATGGGAGGACCCCAGGTTTCTCCCTCCCTTGACCCTGTCCCAGCTCTGTCTTCATCACCTGCTTCCTTTACTCCCATTCCCGGGACATGGAAAATGCCTAGAGAAAGTCACAGGGCTCCCCAAGGGGTCCATTCAGTCAGCAGGGCTCCCACTAGCCTTGAGCAAACCTAATTCTTATTTTCCCCAGAATGCATTGGTCTCAATGTTTTCTAGACCACCTCCCCCCACCCCGAACGCACTCGCAGTTTTCCACAGGAAGTTGTCTCCTATTTTGCTGAGAAAACAGGAGTTCCCTTTTCATTGTCTCATGTCAAGGTGGCTCTATCATCACATGATTTTGTTATCTTCATACCTCTTTCTTCCAAGTATAACTGTCTACCTTCCTTCCAGTACCCCTCCATTCTCACTTCCTCTGGGCAGTTGCCTGAATTATTCCTTTTCATTCTAGAATCTCTCAGCTCTTGTTCCTTACCAGGTTCTTCCCTCTTGATTTCAAATATCATTCCAGAAGTCTCTTCTGGTCTGAAACTACTGTCCCTGCTCAGGCTCCCTTGGGCTTCTATCTTCCCTCCTGTATATCTATGTCGGGCTTGCTGTGACGGATGGTATTTGAATGCTAATTTTTCTTTCCTAACCTCCTACACGGTGGCTTAACTCAACAGATTCAGCTTCTGTCTTTACCACGCTAACGGAACTGTATGTCAGATGTCATGTTACTATTCTGAGGTCCAGTTCCAGCTATGAGTGTCTTCAATCTCACTGCATGCTGATATTGGCCTCTTCCTCTTTTAAAGCTCTGGATCC